TCACCTTGGTCTCGACCATGCGATCATCAAAGGCAGCGCTGAACGCGGCCATGAGCTCCTTCACCTTGACATAGCTGTCGGACTTGCCGTTGGCGGCGCAGTGGTCCTCTAGTACGCCTTCGCGGTGGTGGGGTTCGGTTTTTCGATGACATGAGGGAGCAACGACCCTCATAGGTGGCGGCGCGGAAGACCAGCTGGTGCGGGAACTTCGCCTTGTACTCGGGATCTCAGCGTTCATGACCTGGGTGCGCCATAATCAATGGGCGACCTCGTCGGGCCAACAGATCAGCGCCGTGCCTCAACGAGTTGCTGTAATCGTGTCGCGATTACATCGGATGTCGTGCGGGTACTCCGTTCATGCATCAAAAGCAGAAACCACACATTTGTCTTGAGACCGCACCAGTATACTCCGAGTCCATCCAAATGTAAACTTTCTTGTTTCCTCTTCCCGAGTGTGACCTCGCCTTTACTCGATTTTGTAGTCTCCATCGACAGATATACACATTTCTGCAGTCAGCTGGGACAAGGCGCATGATGCGCCCCGACGAAATGGTATCGACAGCAATTGTATGAGTGAATATTTTAGGAATACATGTAAAAAACAGTAGCAGCTCTACGTAATCTATATTACACCCCCAGTCTAAGAACTCGACATCAGGAAAGAGGAATAATCGACAAAGCCAGGACGCACCTCCGTTTGCTGTGTTCATAAACAACATACGATATAGATACCGCTGGGACCACCTGGAAGGATTATCATAAGCCATAAGAGCCAACAGAATAACCCACAACGAACCTTTGCCAAGGTGGGAAAGAGACCCCGATAAAATCCCCGCCACCCATCGCGCTCCCATGTCTTGGTCGTCACGTCCCATACACCGGTGTATTTCTGCGGGTGGCCGGTGGAGCCAGAGGCCTGCAGACGCGTGCGCACCATGTTGAGTGGGTATACGCTAGTCGCGCCAACGCTGCCCGATATGCTGCCAAAAGCGAGGAGGGCTAGGACGCCAGGCTCGTCCTTACCGGTCGAGCGAAGATAGGCGAGCTTCAAAGCCTCGAAAGTGCTCATGTCGATGGCAGAATATCTGTTATATTGGTCTCAGCATTCAGAGTTATTTAAAAATGGAAACGCATACGGGAAGACGCCGACGAGTCCAATCTGGACGCCGACATGCCCCACGTGAATATTGCTGGCTGATGATAAATGCGATATAAGCTCACCGTCAAACCCCGGTAGTAGGCGCGGAAACCACCAAGAGCCCAGAGATGACGAGCCGCGGCGACGAGTTTGGTTTGACCGTGTTTCTACAGAATGTGTTAGGTATGAATTATACAACCCTCAAAGGGATAATTACTTGAAGCGCGTCCACCCCTTCTTTAGCTGAGTAGCGTTAAGGGTAACCAGAAGGCAAAGACTGCGACACCCACCCTTCAGTCCGCCAGCACTGCTCATCATTTGTGTCTACTCTTTCTGTCAACAGACGGGATGGTGCCGCGAGGGCACAACATACCTTGAGCGTCTCAATGGGATATATGCCTGAAGTAAGTCTATCAGTGGAATTCGTAACGAAAGAGTAGTATTACTCAGTTGACTGGTGATGCCTCCGATACCACCTGACAAAAAACGACTAACACCACTTATATCGCGTGAGTCGTCTACTTTGTCCCAGTATTTTGCAAAGGCCCGTTTCTAATCGAGAACAAGTTATCCAGTGTATTCGAAAGCGGGGGAGGGAAGTACCGATGACTCGTAGGAAAAGAATTTGATTGCTGGCGCGTCGTTAACAGTGCAAGAAGAAATACACAAGGCATCACTCACCAGACTCGGGCATTATCTTTGCCACGGAAAGCCCATTTCCTGTCCAGAACGCGAGTATGCCTCCTTCGGCATATATTCGGGCGACCGCACTAGCGATTACTTTCGCACCGCCAATACTTGGTTTGGGCGTGATATGGGTCCCTCCAAGGTCTGGAGGCCGCGTAATCAAAAATATTTTGAGGCGATCAAATGGGGCCGTGCATGTTCGACTAACTATAAATGACCTTGAGGTGGATGAAGGTGGGACGCTGTAACACTCACCAGCTCCTGCTACACCACCAGCGAGCAAGAATCGCAGAGCTGTGTGCCCCTCCAGCCACTCGTGTGCGTGGGGATCCTCCTCTTCCTCCTCTGACTCCCCTTGAGTATGCCCCGTATCCATTTGGGCGTTTGAAGCCTCTGCCTTCAAGTGGATCGTCGGTCGATCCTCAGCACTCAAGCTGACGTCGCCTGTAGTAGGTAGAGTGAACCATTGGTCAAAGGAACGCCACTAGTCGCACCTTCCATTGTAACACGAGCTGGTCCTCGGGCGTCGTCTCCGAGATACCTCCTCATTTCATAATAACGATAAATCTCCGCCGGTGACGCTCTCATCGGCAGGAGGAGGAGAAAGTCGCGAAATTCAGCAAAGTTGATTGAACGCGAATGGGGTGACGCGGTAAGAAAAGTCATAAATTCCGAAAGCTTGGCCATGGAAAGTGTAATTCCTGCAAACTGGATTCAACGTCACCAAAACCAGAGAGAAACACACCGACGCACCGACTTTGGTCAAGGCCGCACTCAATTCCTGGAGCGTACTGGTCTGAAATGAAATGAACTAGATTTCTATTCCACTCACATTGGCGTCTAGATGCCCATTACCGTCCAGATCAAGCTCGTCGTGGAATATCCCCCAAAGTTCTATTAACGGATGAGCAGGGTAAATGAAATAAGAAATGGACGCGCCTGTCTCTTTTGCCATCGCGTACGATTTGAACTCTTTCCATTCAATGCCGCCCATAGGTGACGTCGACGAACTATGGCCACCACATTTTCGTAGCAGCTCATTCTCGTACATAGTTATCAGGCGCTGGGCGGCCTCCGGCGTAATTCCCGCATCGGTATTGGCTGTACCGACTGCAGGCAGCGACTTTTTGGCGCCGTCAAGTTGTCGCCATACTTCCCTTAACCGCCGCTTGCGATTCTCCCGACCTTCATCCTAAGAGCATGCGATCTTTTGAGACAGAGCACGGAGAGTGCTCCACGATTACGGACCTGTCTAAACAACTTTCAGAAGAAGCACGTAGAACGCCCAGCATTACAGACCTAAACTCTTCGAGGGTACGCGGCACGCGCTTGGGAAGGGTATCCGAGCGCAGTTTGGGAATAAATGGCCGATCCTCAGCTCCAGAGTCAGTTGCGTCAAAGATTTCTCGTCCCGTCTGTGCTTGTTCCTTGTCCTGCTCGCCCATGACGCGCCAAATACCTGGCTCTTTTCAACAAAGAGGATCGGGGAGAGCCCCTCCTTATAGAAGCATCTGGCGCAGAAAGATAGCGTAGGGCGTTGGAGCAGTGGCAGAGCCGTTACGTAACACATATTCGTTGCACCTCGGCAACTTGAACCCGCAGGTAAAAAGAAATACTGATCTATTCAAAACAGGCGGTCTACTAGTAATTACGCTTGCGTCTATCGAAATCGCCCACACTCAACACAAAGCTCCGTACTCTTTGAAACTTTTTATCCTGCTTTTTATCAAGACACCCAGCGACTTGAATGTATCCCACCACATTGGTTGGTCGTGCTCTCGAGTCTCCCAGTCTTTTGGGAGTTCAGCAGATTGCCATCCCGAGGAAGGCAAAGATATTGATGATTCACGCCTTGAGTACGAGTCTGCCGACCACGCATGCATTATTCCTCCAAACCTACCGACTGGGATTTCGACAAATCTGGGCTGGCGATTCAAAGGGTTCTATCGGTGATTCGTGAGACGATAGCATCGAGCAACTTTAAGAATAGGGCATTGTTCAACGTACCCCGGAAGGATTTTGGGACTCTGTGTCTCGGTCGGCAAGCCCAACCCGCCGCTTGTGGTTGCTAGGACGAGGAGGTGTCGGAGGCCGATATATCTACATGAACATAAGTCCTGAGTTCCACGAAGAGGTTGCGAGACACTAGATGTCGACTGACTCGAGCGTTCCCAAATTTCGAGGCAAAATAAACCGGCGGAGCGAGTCGAGGTAATTGATGAACATCTTCAGGTGGAATCGCCAGGGACACGGGTTGTACACGACCGCTGTGACCATCTTCGCCATCCTTGGATGAACCAAGATTTGCGGGTGTTCTACCTGAGCTTTCGCAAGCGGAGAGTCCCAGATTAATGTTGTAGTTCTTTCGCGCCTGCGCTATAACATCATGCCAGTCTTCTGGTAGCTTTAGGTTTTTAATGGAACCGGATGCCACTGTGAAAGACAAGTAGGAGATTACCGGTGGTCTTTCCTCTTCTCTGCGACCAGCGCTCAAGATTTCGGTAGGAGACGGAGGGGGAGATGGGATGTATACGGGAGCAGGTTTGCGGTAGCTCATTCCCCGATGCATGGCAAGTCAGGGTTGTATCAAGAGAGAAGAAAGACGCAGGAAGAAAAAGACGCAGCAATAAACCGTTGTCGCCCAAGCAAAGGAGACTCTTTGGCAAGTCAAAGCAAAGAAAGGGATTATTAAAGAAGGGCTCAAAGCATGTTTAAATATTAGCGGCTCATGTTTTAGCATGCTGAGGGTGCGTTGGTTTAATTTCCGAAAGAGCTGAGAGGTAACGCGAGCCGGGTTCCGCATTTGAACTGGTTTGGGTAGATGAGTGAGCGAATGAAGCATAAAGGACACGTTGAGTCGAAGTGCGGAGCCTCTGTGACGCCTGGGTAGACTGAATTGAGGCAACAGAAAGCAAGTTAGGTGCGTGTCGAAGGCAAGATGCAAGAAGTTGTGCCTGAATCTTGGTTTGCTTGAAACTCAAAGGCTAATTTGCGCTTGGCTGTCCACGCAAATGCCAACGTTCTGGGCTCGCATTTGTAGTGTTCTGACTGTCAGAAAGATTGAGGCTTGGACGCAACGACGATGAGGGTAAGACGAAGAAACCAGGAAGAAACGATGTGGTGTGCGGCCTCAAACTGGGACAGGTTTGTAAAGGATAATTGGGTGTAAAGGCATGGTTGTGTAGTGTAGCGGTTATCACTCCAGATTCTGACCAGCCGATTTCTGGCAACCCCGGTTCGATTCCGGGCACGACCTGCTTTTTCGCTCTTCCCACGTTTGATATTTATTGATTTCAATATCCCTCTGAGAACGTCAATTCCGCAAGTATGCCTAGTCTTCCGGGTCCACCAAACACAAAATAGCTTTTGCCTATACATGCAAGTAGCGTGGCGTAGACCCCCCCTGCTGCTCATGCATCTATTCGTGTTTCGCATTCCCATGCGTACGGCGGTTCAACCACCAGATTCCTCCGTTGAGATATGTCGCAAATGAAAGCCAAGCACAATACGGCCAAAGCAAGTACGACGCGGCGGGATAATGTGCGGCGAGCAATTTCTTTGAATTTGATGAGGAATCATAAATCACGAACAATAAGGAGGTGCGCTCACGGTCATATAGAATGTGGCTGCGGTCATTATGCCACTGTCAATCAGAGCCATTCCAGTCTGGGGTTCAGATAAATGGAACGCTGAAGAAAAGGAGAGCCTTGGCTACTAAGAGAACCCACCTTTTTAGCAGCGAAAAACAGGGGAGTCCAAGCAAGGTTCAACCCCAGCTGCGTGTAATATAGGGCAAGGACCAGCATATAGTCGGACCTATCAAGAGTTAAGAGTTCTTTCGCAGCCAGAGAAAGAATGTACTTGGCGGATGGTGAGGAAGCGCCGTCCAACGCGTTTACTACGAGGTGAGAAGCATAGCCCATGGCTTGAGACGATCATTCGTACAGGAATTGAAACGCAGATCAAGACGTGCTCACAGATGTACAGCAGGGGCCAGACGACCGGGAAAACCTGGCGCGGGGGACGACCAGGAGGAGTGCGCAAATTCTGGTGGGATGCTCAGTTTTGCTTTATATGAGGTTCAGCGGCACAGCATGCCTTGTACCAGTCACTTTGAACAACCTTGGCGGTAGGATAGCCGCTGAGGAGGCCCAAACCGAGAGGCAGTCCAACTGCTAGCAAGGGGACTCTCGCAACAGTGAGCAAAAACGTTGGAAGGTGGAGGTTAGACATGGTAGCACAAGTAAGGAAGAAAATCGCGTGACGTCATTGCGGGCAGGAATCGATCGCGCTTCGGAGTCTCACGCGCCGAATGGCCGGAAGGAAAGCGAGCAGTGTTGCGGGATTCAAATATTCAAAGTTCAAACACAATTCCGTAAACATAACAACATCTCCAGATGCAAGCGATTTCTAGTAGTTAAGTAGAGTTGAGTACCAGGAAGAAGAATTCCTTGGACCGACGTTGGTCGCGATAACGTTGCGAGAACAAAAACAGAAATTCTCAAGAAATTCTACAAGAGCGCGGTGGGTGCGAAGCACCCACCTCTGGTTGAACCTTGAATTTTTCGTTGCGAAGTGGTGGGATCGGAAGCAAGGTCGGAAAAATGCCGGACAGTGGATGGCGGAGCTTAAAAGGGTTTCGGATGAACAGACATGCGCAACCCTAAAAAGAGGGTGAGATTCGAGGACTCAAGGAACGATTCAGCGAAAGCGCGGAGGAATAGAATATGTACTAAACAAAGATTCAAAGAATTTGCGGAGAATACCAGTTTCAAGCCACCCATAGAGGCGGAGGATCAGGGAATAAGGGAAGGTCTTGCACCAAGAAAAACAGGTATCGAGCAGTCCGTTGGATAGACGGTAAAACAATCGATGGTTTGAAAGTTGCAGTGAACTTGTAGTGAACGGCTTGATGCGAGCTCAGGCAGCGAGCTTGCGAGCCGCCTGAGTGGAAGGCAAGGTAGCACGGAAGAGATAGCGTAGACCTCGCATCGAATGTCGATTAGATTGTAGTACAATCTAATCTGAGGGGCACAGCCCCAAGCTTCCTTCTCCGCGCACTCGACATCAAGACCAGCAAAGCTCTTCCTGCTCGTCCCCGTCCACCTCGACGCATTTTTCGAGCCCCGCCCTCCTCTGCCCTCTTTCTTTTCGCTGACGCTGGGTGGCTTCGGGTCTCCTTCATCAGACCCGTGGTTGCCTTTGCGTACGGGTTCGGCCTGTTCCGCGTTCCGTTTCTCTCCGACGCGCTTTCCCGCAGATCTCCCTCTGCGTTGCAAAGCCCCTCGGCCGGAACTAGTCTCGTTACTCAGATTTTATTTCAGCCGTTGAGAAGACAGTCGTTCTCAAGAGGGGAAAGAAAGTCTGGGCGTTGATGGGGGGTAGGTAGGAGGGTCGACAAGATCAGATGGCAAATGTGATGGATGCGATGCCGCCGCTTATCGGCACTTCTCTTTTCGGTCAGCGCGAGCGTGTCGCCTTTTGCTCATGCTCTCCGAGCCATATACCCTTCAAATCACAATACACTCTATGAATCAAACAAAATAAGCTATAATGGACGAACGAGATCCCAAAGCGGAAACGCTGCCATTCCAGCTGAATGCAAAATTCTAGGCCATTTCGATTCGCGCAGATGTGGAGCCGGAGAATCCCGGTTGTATTGAGAACGTCAGTGCGACGTCATAAAGCTGGACGGCGCATCGCTCCCGAGCTGCCGTTCACTGCCGCACGCAATAAATGACCTTCACACGCTGCCAGAGCTCCACTCATTGACGAAACGAAACGGCCTAGAATTTTGCATCTAGCTGTCATCGGATCAGCTCAGGATCATGATTCCCATCTGATCTTGTCGACCTCCCTACCGACCCCTCATCAGATCCTAGACTAGGCCGGAACGGCCGATCCCCCCGCAAACCACACACACTCCTCTTCCCTTCTCTGGGTCTGCGTAGCGGACACACAGCGTACAACGCTGTTCTCTTCCCTTCGCTCTCCATCTCATCCTCTACGCGACCTAGAGGACACGACTACCTTGCAGCCTGAAGAAGGAACGTTGTCACATGTGACGCTCACAAGATGACGGAAAATTAGAGAACAAGTTTAGGACAGGCTCAGACGTCGATCAAGTTTATCGGAAGAGGATGCGATTGATGGGAGATGATATAAAAGTACATATGGAAATTTGATAGCAATTTGATAGCAATAGATCGCAAAGCAGAGCAAATGGCTGCAAGATAATTCGACTCTACATTATCTGAACGACCAAGTCAGAAAAAGAAGGCGATGGTGAGAGGAGCGAGTCACCTACTTAAGAGAAATACATTAACGTCGACTGCGATTGGTGCAGAGGCTTGAAGCCACGTCTGAAGGCCTCAAGCGAAGACGCAGCCTGGCCCTCGTCGACCTGGGTCGCCGAGTCGCTGAAGTCGACGGTGCCCTGGGGGTCGTAATGGTTCTTCGCCCGGGAGCAAACAATGTCGGCGTCTGAGGAGAAATTAGAGAAATCAAAGGCAGAGCAAAAGTCCAACACGTACAGTACACGGGAGCAGGGATCGACACCGAGCGCGTCGAACGGGCGTAGACGTGGCACAACGCGAAGGACAGGGACTGCAAGGCGTCGGCGCTGCAGGGAGATCAGTACAGGCTGGTAAGTACGGGCGACGCTTCGGACCTGAAGTTGTTTTCCTATGCGCATGGTTGAGTTTTCAGGTGAAAGGGCGTGGCAAGGCAGACTTACATCATACAGCACCGAGTAGTGGGCAGGACGACTCGTGCCTGGACGAGAACATGTCAGGAAGGGACAACGCAAGCCCTATGGCGGACCGACCGAGCAAACCACCGTGTGCTTGAAGATAGAAATCAAACTCGGTGGGATGCGCAACGTCGCGGTCGACGACAGTGCCAGCCTTGCAATTTCCGCTGCGGTCCGCGTCGCGCTCGCTCATCGGAAAGAAACTTGAAGGACAATATTTTAGACAAGTCAACGGGCCAAGGCGGAGGCATACCGGACGTGATGGCGCTGAGACGACGAGTTAGTGACGGTGGGTAAATAGGAAGCGTAACAAATACCTTGCCCACGATGAGGATCGTGATCTTGGGATTGATCTTCAAGGACGCACAGGCCTCTGCCGAGGAAAATGAGTAAAATGCTGTCGAGGGGGAGGCAATAACGAACTCCTGATGAGCGGGAGTTCTGTACAATGGTCAGTGCGAATAAAGAAAAGGAACACTGAACATCGACCTTGTTCCAGTACCTGCTTGAATTGGCCCTCCGAGACTCCGTCTTGAAGAAAAGAAATGAGGCGCGTCGGGTAAACGCGAAGCAACAAATGAGACACACCGCGGTAGAAGATCATACGCTTCGGCGCTGTGGTACCTGCTGCTTTCTTCTCGACCACCGCGCGGTACCTGCAGACGGTCGTTGAGAAGCAGAAGAGAGTGGTAGGTTTTAAGCCTACCTCATATACATCGTGAGACAATGGTGGCTCATGGCCTCCAGCTCCTCGATCATCTCTACACGAGAAGTCTGGACGCGGCTGGCGGCGATGTATTTGGCCGTGTCCGAGTCGACGTTGGCGACGAGAGCGGTGAAAGAAGGACGACCATCGGAGCCGGGGGCCGGGTGAATAACCTGATTGCGCTGTGTCAGAAAAAGGAGCGGAGAAAAAGAGAAATAGAGTCGTACATCGGCTGAATTAGTAGAAGAGCAAGCTTGTCAACAGTTTAAACAGTGAAAGCAGTGGAACGAACCGCCTGCCAGTTGAAAGTGAGTGAGAACCAAAGACATAAGCAAGTAGAACCAACGCACCCATGACAATGGTCGGGTTGTGTGGGTCGGTGAGCACACTCACCGAGCTCGGGTCTGCTCAAATGATGTCAGTCCTGTTCTATCGTAGTGTCGGAATATGTTACCTGGGATGGTGTTAATCCCGCCGAGCTTCACGTTGATTCTACAAAATAGTGAGCACGAACAACGCAACCGAGGATGGGCCGCACTTGAGGCAGACGTTCGCGTAGTACTGCGGCTTGGCGCGGTAGCATTTCGAAGACTGAAGGTCAGTTAGTCAAGCGAAAGGAAGCTAGCATGAAGTATTCGCCTTGAGGCATTGCGTGGCGACGCCCATCTAAACACATATAATAACATCGGACCGGGAACCAAGAGAAAGCCAAAGAACCATACGGTAATGTCTCCAAAGTGCTTGACGCTCGTATAGATGTCGTTACCGCCCTCGGGCTAGGGATGCGGGTGAAAACAAG